TATTGGTGTTATTGCAGGTAAAAATATGGCAAATTTATCAAGTAGAGACTCACAGCAATGGCTGAAATGGTATAATGAAATGCTTGACAGTGACGACGAAGAAGTTTATGGTGAAGATGATCCATCGGAGCAAGTAACAGATAACTTGGAAGTGCAAGGTGAATGTTCAGATACGGAGCAGGAGTCTGAAGAGGGAGCTGATACTAGAAGATTCTGTAAAAAACGGTGGTCCATATTTTTTGGGAAAGGATAAAGAAACTAAATGGAGTAAAAACAAACCACCAACGTCAAGAACAAAGGCTCATAATCTTATATTGAAAGTTCCAGGGCCAGTAGGCAACGCAAAAAACGCCAAATCCTCGATGGACTGTCTTAGCCAATTTATTTATGATTCAATGATTGAAATCGTTGTGAAATGTACCAATCTATACATTGCAAAGACTCAAGCAAATTTCGATAGAGAACGTGATGCTAGATTGACGGACGTATGTGAGATAAGATCTTTTATAGGAATATTTTATTTGGCGGGATCTTTGAAATCTGGGAGGCAGAATATTCGGACATTATGGAACACAAATGGCAATGGAATTGAAAACATATATATAACAGTGAGTTATAATTGCTTCAGATTCCTGTGTAGAAGTATCAGATTTGATGATGTAAATACTAGGGAAGATCGACGTATGTATGACAAACTGGCAGCGATTAGGGACATTTTTCAGCGATTTGTGAACAATTGCCAGTCTGCAGTGATACCAATCGCTTTTCTAACCATCGATGAACAACTGGTTGCCTTTCGAGGAAGATGCGCCTTCAGGCAATATATACCTAATAAGCCCAGCACATATGGAATCAAAATATTTGCATTGGTCGATGTCAAAACCATGTATACATACAGGTTAGAAATATATGCAGGTAAACAACAGAACGGGCCGTATGGTTTGAGTAACAGTCCTGGAGATGTCGTAAAAAGGTTAGTTGAGCCTCTAAAAGATACAGGTCGTAACATTACAATGGATAATTGGTATGTCAGTGTACCTCTTGCTAGGGACTTATTGAAAGATAAATTGACTCGCTCAGGAAAAATAAAAGAGAGATTCCATTAGAATTCACACAGACTGCTTCTAGACCAGAACAGAGTAGCATGTTTGCCTTTCAATCAGGTCTTACCTTGCTGTCTTACGTTCCAAAAAAAGGTAAAAATGTATTGCTGATTTCATCAATGCACCACGATGACGAGGTTGATAGGGAATGCTTGAAACCTGAAATAATCCTGGAATACAACAGAACTAAATCTGGAGTGGATGTCGTAGACAAACTTTGTGTCCAGTATGACGTGGCTAGAAATAGCCGTCGTTGGCCTCTGACAGTTTTGTTTGACATTCTAAATATTGCTGGTATCAACGCACTTTGTCTATTTGCTATGAACAATAATTTTGAAAAACCAAACAGAGAACATTTCCTGCAAGAGTTGGCTGCAGAGTAAGTACGACCACAAATAATGAAAAGAATATATATGGATAATATCCCAAGAAATATAAAGAAAAGGGCTATCGCTTTACTGAACATTGAGGAAACTACTCTAGCAACAGACAAGGCTACTACAAAGAAACAAAAACTTGGAAAGGGTAGGTGCTATTTATGACCCAGATCAGCTGATAGAAAAACGCCAATTACATGCGTAAAATGTGTTGAGTGGATATGTAAAATTCATCAAAATTTCGTATGCCGTAATTGCCTTGATAGCAGAGAAATAGAAACCAATTGTGACAGCGATTAGATGCTTTTGCCATATTATACCTTCAGAGACCTGATTTGTTAGTTAGGATTTTATATAAATATTATGTTAGCATTTCTTTCGTAAGTGAATATTTTTTGTTCTGTTATAAAAGCATTTTATTATTAAAAAACACAAAAACAGGTTGGGGTACCTCAGTACCCCACGCGAGTACCTACGTGATTTCCTCAGGACATTTTCATTTTTGCATGAAAGTCACTTGTTTTTTCTACTAGAGGTCAAACAGTTTGCCAGAAAGGTATTTTATATGTAATAGATGCCAGCTAAGAACAGATTAAGGGAAGATAAAGGCATATTCAAGAGAGAATGAAAGTCCTTTGCATTTCCTACTACAAACCTTAAACTTGTACATGGAGATATTTTATAGGCAGCAGATGTCATTTGCGGAAGAATTTTTTGTACCAGGACCGGATTAGATTCACAATTTTACAAAGTTCTAAGTTTTTTTCTACCAGAGAGCTGAAATTGGCTAAGAATATATTAGTATAAGCAGTAGATGCCAGTTGAAGAACGGATTCTATGACAGGTATGGATTAAGGGAAGCTAAGTATATTCACAAGCTTTTATGTAAGTCGTTTTTTTCTTCGACTAGATACTAGAATTTACTCGAGAGGTAACCTGTCAAGAACGTATTTGGCACTTGCAAGTTTGCTTGAAATTTCTTCGAATTTTGAGACAGGGCTGGATGAAAGGAGGCTCGGGGCATTCTCATTCCATATGAAAGTTGTTTGTTATTTATACTAGAGATCTAACAATTGCCAAGGAGATACTTTTATGTAGTAGATGCCAGATTCGTTTTGATGTTACTAAGAGCAAGACCGTTAACAGAACAGTATGACAGCATGTTGTTACAAACTTCGGAAGCTGTGTGGCTGAAATTTGAGATGTTGTTAGAGGTCGGTGTTGTTGTTCTGCGAATATTGTTACCTAATGATTCAAAAATATGAAATTGGTGTATAAAATAAATAAGGCAGGGCCTAAGCTACTGCCATGGGGTACCCCTGACAGAATTTCAATGGGAGATGAAACTCCAGATCTAGACTCAGTTTTAATCCGATCGGTTTGCGTCCTTTATTCTAAGAACGACTCAAGTCAATGAGAAGCACAGTCCCGAATTACGTAACTGAATAGCTTATCGAATAATGTACCATGATTTACTGTTTCAAAGTCCCGGTTTAAATCGAGAGAGTCTTTTATACTATCACGATTTTGTGTAACCTGATTATAGACTGAAATTACTGCATCTTGTGTAGTAAGCCGTCCACGGAACCCAAATTGTTTCGTACTAATGATATTCCAGTGGTTCATAAACCTAGTGAGGCGCGAACAGTTTTCATTTTCATATAATTTTGAAAACGCTAAAACTAGCGATATACCTCGGTAACTAGAGATTAAATGTATGTCACCCTGTTTGTGAATTACTGACGACAGAGGGTTGAATGTAACTGTCGCCCAAAATCTAGGTTTTCCTCTCCATATTCCTTGACCTAGAAGTACGAGCGAAGAGTCCTGTTTGCATTGCCGCCCCACAAGAGAGAGCATGTGCTTGTGGCGTCGCGTACGACGCTATTTATGCCCTGCGCGTTTGTCCGACATGGCGCTCTCTGTTCTTATTTGTTATTGTAATGACGATCGATGCTATCGTACGCTGTCCCATGTCGCTCGACGTCATGTTATCCGACCACTACGCCACCGGCTTTATATCTCCATACGAACGGAACTACCTGTTGCTCTCTCCTCGTATGCGGAAACAAGGAGATGGTTCGAACGGAATCTAGGTCAGAAGTGGGATAGAGAATATCCCCCCTTTGAAGCTAACTGCATTAGGTGTAAAGGTGTATAGTTGCAAATTGCAATTAAGTATCGGGGTGTGTGGTTCGACAAAGTTTTGAAAATGATTGATCGTATGAGACGCACTACTGATAAGGTAAATAAGGTCGTTGCATCTTTGATACGGATAATGCCTCATGACTGAGACCCCAGTAGTGAGAGGCGCAGGATTTTGGCAGGGGTAGCAAGCACGGTTATGCGGTACGGAGTTCCTGTATATATCAAGGCCTTGAGGACAAAGAAATATAGATAATTAATACAGAAAAGCCAGCGAAAAGTGGTGCTGCGCGTGGTATCCGCTTAGACAACGGTGTCGACCGAAGCACTGCTAGTGGTAGCTGGTATCCCGCCAAAGACAGCTGCTGTTTGTCGGATGGGATCCAACTGGCCATGGTGCGTGGATCAAAAGGCAGATCCTAGATATTAAAACTTGGGTTGACAAGTAAAGAACATGGTTGTTTTGTCAGCTATCTAAGGAGGATAGGAAAGAAAAGGCACGCGAACTACTTATCTTCCAGACACAATACTGTTGTGGCCGGCGCTTCCGTAAGTAGAACTATCTAGGTCTTCTCCGAATTTGTAATAAAATTATATGTATCTATCAAAAAAGCAATAGCTTTATTATTATCCATGTAACTAGTCGAACACGCCATACAATCTTGAATATCGTTGAAATATATTCCCTCAGAAACAGTGCAAGGTAGTTCTAAATAGCTTTTTAAAAAGTTTGTGTGTCTATTTGGGTCATAATGTTCATGTCCAGAATTGTTATATTGCTGATATGGATATCAAATTGTTACAATAAGCTGTAATAGGGTACGAACTGTCAAACTTGAAGATAATATATCTCAGAAACTTCTCGTGGGAACTTTGAGCCCAAGCAAACTTTTGTTTTACCTGTCGGGATCAAAAACATTTTATTTAAAAACAATAGCTGAAAGAAATTTTCTCATAAGGGTAATACTTGACCTTATTTTCAAGCTACGTGACTTGACTTGATGAATCCAATAACATTCTATATTTTCCTGTATTTTTGCTAGCATCATGACAGATAAAAGAAAAACTATCAACGAAACAGCTTGAATCGAACCAGAATAATCTCAGAAAGTATATGCGCTATTCAGAATGTGCGAAGCGTTGCTATGAAACTTGATACGTTTAGCCTACGCTGCATACGCGACAGCAGTTTTCCTGGAACGTGAATGTTTTTACAGCAGCCATTAATAAAGAAGGGAATGGATTTGTCACACTTCTCGTACTCTCACGGATACACGTTCGTGTCATGCTGTAATGCCACTTAGATGAAATATCGCTCCTACGGAACGAGGACACTCACTTGTTACACTTGCACTAGATACTAGAAATAACTTACAATGAATGTAACTACTGAATTAGATCGGGGTCTCTCATTGTAGCATTTGCTTTCGCTAACTTCGGCAGTGACACGGTGATGAGCAGATATCGCGAGCATATTTGTTTGTTGCACGACTTCTAATTAGTGGCAAATGGAAACCAGCAATACGCGTTAAATGGCAACGTCGCATTTTGCATTGGATTCCATAGAGCCATATACATTGTATACATTGTATACGGACAGTAGGGTTAGTACTGAGTAGAAGCATGCTTCAGTTATTTTCAATTCTACAAAAACCAGTTATACTTCTACTACTACCTTAACCTATCTCCACACATACCTCTGTATACTCTGGTAACAAGTGAATACCACTTTCTGTTTGGATACATTAAGACAAATAAGATAATAATAAATATGTATATGCATTGTATACATTGTATACATTGTATACATTGTTTACATGGTATACATTGTATACATGTTATACATTGTATACATTGTATATTCTACAAAAACCAGTTATACTTCTACTACTACCTTAACCTATCTCCACACATACCTCTGTATACTCTGGTAACAAGTGAATACCACTTTCTGTTTGGATACATTAAAACAAATAACATAATAATAAATATGTATACAGTATACATTGTATACGTTGTATACATGGTATACATTGTATACATGGTATACATTGTATACATGGTATACATTGTATACATGGTATACATTGTATACATTGTATACATTGTATACATGGTATACATTATATACATTGTATACATGTATACATTGTATACATCGTATACATCGTATACATCGTATACATCGTATACATCGTATACATCGTATATATTGTATACATGGTATACATTGTATACATTGTATACATCGTATACATCGTATACATCGTATACATCGTATACATCGTATACATCGTATACATCGTATACATTGTAGACATTGTATACATCGTATACATTGTATACAGTGTATACGCATAGTAGGGTAGGTACTGAGTAGAAGCATGCTTCAGTTATTTTCAATTCTACAAAAACTAGTTATACTTAACCCTAACCTATATCTCCGCATACCTTTGTATACTCTGGTAATAAGTGAACTTTCTGTTTGGATATATTAATACAAGTAATATAATAATGACGTTAATTCACTCAATCTACAAAGAAATTGCTCTGATGAGAATGTTTGAAGAACATGTTACTGTTCCAGCTAGGTTGCAGCTCTGTGTCTATTTTTGCTCAAAAATTCGTGATCCATCACTCTAGATGGTTTGAGCATTTTCATGTAAACATTGCTCCAGCCAGTAAGCTGTACTGGGTTGAGTATATTGCAAAAAAATGTCAAGCTCTTAGAAGGTTATTATATACGTACTATTATTAGACTCGATTCTAGTACTATCTACAATTAGAACAAATCTAAAGTGTCCTTGCGGAATTCATATCAGGCAGTCGAGCTTGCCATTTTCTAAAGACAGCCGTACCTTAACTAGCCGGCCAACACTCATTGTTCGGCCAGAAAATATGGGCTAGTGGTACAAAGAGGAATGAAACGCGCGCCAATGACACGCTAATAAACTATTTTATTATTATTTATTTAATGGACTGCAAAACGTACCGTTACAGATCTTGTGACGCGATAAAATCGAGAACAATGTGAGAGATTTTTACGGACGGCAGGTTGAATTGCACCGGCGAATGTGGAACAAAATTTATGGAACGCTAAAAGTGCTTGACGTATGACAGAAGAGGAATTAGTTGATGCTGTACGTTTGGCGTTCGGTCGTGTGGTATGTAGGTGCAGCTGAGTTTTTTCGGATGCTTTAAAACCTTAGACTGTCTACTGTTCTAGGTTGGTATAGTGGTACAGTGACACAGTAGTAACAATATCAAGGTGAGGAGACATACCAGTTCTTGCACAGCCGCGTAAGCAGAGGGCTAAATACCAGGGTACGTCAGATAGTATCAAGGACCTTAAAGGGGCTTTGTTAATCTGAAAGATTTTTATACAGTGAAAGTGCCTAAACCAGGGATCAACAGGTGGTTCAATAAATCGTACAGCACTGCTGGTCAGAGAACAGGAGTCTTTCCGAAGAGGTGGAACGAGGCTGGTTTGGTGCTCATACCAAATCCGAACCCATCGATACGGAAGTCAAATATAGACCTCTGGATATGCTGCATTTGGAACGCTTCTAGAACGATTGAGAGAAGGTAGACAGCTGGCAGGTAAAGAGGTAAGAAGTTTTACGTTATGGTTACTTTTGACGTTAACGATGCCTTTAACACGGCACAATGGCAGGAAAATCGTCGAACCTCTACGAGAAGCTAGGCACCCCTACATATCTATTGAACACGAGAATGAGCAACTTTGACGAGAGGGCGCTTATTGTAGGTCAAAAGAGGATGAAGGTAACCATGGGAGTCCCGCAGGACTCCGTCCTAGGACCGTTTCTTTTGAACGTGGTCTACGATGGAGTTCACGGTTACACATGTTCTAGGTCCTAATTCGCCAAAAGAGAATCTCGAGGTAAACTATCATTCGCATGCCTTGCTGACTGGTTACCCAATCGGAATGCTTGGCGAACATTTGAGGTGCCATTACAAGCCCGCAAGGCGAACTGTGACATAACTCAGCAGGCCGAATTTTCTGGTTGAAAGGTGCTTGAGCAGCCTTTGTAAATTGAAAATTGATCTTGAGAATCCATCGATCAAGAACATTTTGGATAGAAAACCGTTTCAGTCTTGTGGAAGCTCTAATATTCATTGTTGTTTTCAAAGCTGGAGCTCTTGATCTATAACTATTGTGAAGAATCATGGGCCAACAGTGGACTGGACGGAGATTATTCTCGTGCCTGCTCTCAGCTAGTAATCGTTGCAAAAATAAGATAGGTGTATATGTTCTCACAAGACTTGTAGCAGCGCCAACTGTATGCAGGTACCTCAAACCATAACACTCCTGGGCTATCATCCCAGCGTCACACTTCCACCTTATTACGAAACGTCAGTCTCCTTGTTGAGCTGCACGTAGTGAGGTATAGAATAAGAAGGCGAAGAGGTGCTTTTTGACGTCTGATGGGTGCCCTTGAGACGAAACGGCAGGATGCAAATGCAGATTGTATTACAGATTACAGATCGACAAGTTTTTTGTTCGGAGATGATATGGGGAGAGAATTTTTAGATGGGTCGCCGGTTTTTTTTTTTAGCTTTTGTTGGGCATGCCTATAACGGGTATGAGTTTCAAAAGGAGAAAATATGAGTTGTTGCAGTCACTTCAAGGTGTGATTGATCTGCTCTGTTAAATGCCGGGAGCGAGGAGAACAAAGGAACCTAAAACTGAATGTAGTGGGAACAATAAAAGATAAACATTGTGATATGTGGTCTTTTGGTGTATTTTCTTCAACAAATTTGACTTGGGGGACTGAGACAAGTAAACAATACAAAACGTACGTAGTTAGTACAAGCTTTGAGAGGTCAGCTTGCTGGGCCAGCTGTCGAAGAAACGTGAAGTCCAGGAGTTTCGGAGTAAAATTTAATTTTCGTGTTAAGTTGAATTCAAGTTAAAACGTACCGCTGTGGGCTTAAATCCGATTTGACAGATACATTCTAAGTCACACTTGGACTCAGCTTACTCCGATAAAAACGTAATATTTGCCCTTGTATTATGAGGAACCTAAAAAAGTGAGTTATGAGGTAAATAGCTTCTGTATATACAGACTTATTTTTTGCGCATATTCTGTAAACGGTTCATTCCAGAAGTATTTTTATGATTTTCAAAAATGATCAGAGCTTTCAGAAGCAATGAAACAGTTTTTTAACATAGACCAACAGAGCGGCGGACAGACTGCCATACAAACCAAGAGACATTACCCCATTTTCAATTTTTTGTAGTTATAACACTTCCTCGCCAATTGGCGTGGAAAGTAAAAACTATTACCAAGCTTAGCGCTGCAGATTACGCTGTTTCGGGCACTTTCGCAACTCCTTGCGGTTCAGGTCTAGTAGACAAGCGAACGGAAACCAAACTCGTGAGGGTGGTCTTTTGAAGAACTCAGAATACACCATTGGTAGTTCGTGATTCACCTATTTCCGCACAAAATGCAGAAGGTTTTATATTTCAAAACATTATGCATGCCTGTATCACGAAGAGTGTAAACAGTTTCGTATGTATTTAAGCGGAAGCTGTGCACATGTGAAAATAGGCTAGACCAATGTCGCGTAAGTGACATATAAATCCGAACACCCAGTTTAAATGGTTTTATTTTAATAAAATTTTGTATAAGTACTTAATGAAGCATAATAAGTAAATGATAAAATTTCAAAATGATTGCACTGCTTTAAAGCCCTTTGACCTTTAATAATGTGTGGATGCACCCTGATGTGCTACGCATTCTCCAACGCGCCTAGGCATGCTTCTGATCAGGTGGTCAATGTCCTCCTGTGGTATCTCATTCCAGGCAACCACCAACTCCTCTCGAAGTGCTTCTAGAGTCTGAGGAGGACGTTGCAAATTGAGCAATCTCCTACCCATCATATCCCACACGTGCTCAATTGGGGATAAGTCGGGAGATCTTGGCGGCCATGGTAACAATGTGACATCATTATGTTGAAAGAAGTCTATTGTGACTCTTGCAACATGTGGTCGGGCATTATCTTGTTGGAAAGTTGGATCTGCCAGGGTGTCAAGATAGGGTAAAAGATGGAGTGCTAGAACTTCGTGGATATAACGCTGCGCGTTCATGTTACGTCTGATGAAGATTATAGGTGACCTTTAACCATAAGCTATAGCACCCCAAACCATAACTCCAACAGTGTGATGAGCATGTCCTTCAACAAAAAACTGTGGATTCCTCCTTTCACCACGTCGCCTTCTAACCCTGGCACGACCATCGTGCATGCCTAAACAAAATCGAGACTCGTCACTAAAGACAATACTGATCCATTCCTGATCCCAGAGTAACCGTTGTCTGCACCACTCAAGGCGATTACGTCGGTGTTCTCGAGTTAAAGGGAGGACCCAGTGTGGCCGGTATGAATACAAGCCAAAACTTCTCATTCGTCGGTAAACACTTCGCATGCCAATAGGTCTTCCGTGTTCTGCAA